TGAGTATATGGGGTATGCGAATGTACCAGGGCTGTAGAGATATCACAACTGCAGAAACTTGGTTCAATGATGGATTTAACGTTTTACGAGTTATAGCTTGGTGCTAAAATTGGTAAAGCTCACTAATGCTGCCTGCTTAATTAGTCGTCTATGAATATACCTAGTCCACGGTCCGGCACTGGCATAGAATCCCGTACAAGGTGCGTTTGCTCAGGTCGATCTGACAATAGGACTAGGTTGTGAAGCAAAGTCAAACCAGTCTTATACAACAAAGCTAGACATCGATCAAAAGAGAGACCATATTATCTCGGTATCCATACTTCCGATTAGCGTAGGTCAATATTTGACGAGATTAGAAATATTCTACCTTGTTGTTCACTAATTCACTTCTTTTACACATTTACACTGCGATTAAGGTTGTGGCCGACCACCCTTTCTCTTGGTTTAGCATATTTTTGCTCTATTTAGTAAAGTTTTGATACCTACTCTGATGATGTCTATCACAATACGGACGAAAGTTTAGCACAGTTTCATCAAGGTCACATGTCGGTGAGTTGAGGACTTCTTCACACAATAAAACAGTCTTGCCTACGCGGTAATCCTCCTTCAGTTTCTAGTGAGACCACATCACGAATTCCTTTCGGCCAACTTTTCCTTCGAAATGGAAAGCCATGTCACAAAATATCACTAAGAGATCCCTTAAAACCCATCTTTTCTTTATAATCTATGACTTCTTAACTTCATTATAATCTTAGCGTTTCTTTGAGTAGTGTAGCCAACGTAGAAGCATATTCATCATAATTACAGTTTGGTTACGAGACCTGAAAGGTGCACGGAACCATTTATTTTTAATACAGTTGAGTTTAGCATTTTTTTTCTTTATTTAGCATACTCCACCACCATGGGAGGCATAAATATACCTACAATCGTGATTGGCTATTTAAGTTATCTCTGTGTTATTGCCCAATCTTATATTACTGTGAGCTCTTAATAGACTACCTCAATTCAAATTTGGCCATCCATGATTGTTTTCCTTGCGCTAAGATCCAAATATTAAACCTTTTCTACCTTATTTTATTTTCATAATCTTCTATCCTACGCATCCTTAAGGAGCTCCTTGACAACTTTCAGTTGATTGCTTCGGTTACTCTGATGCCACAGTCTTTTGGCTCATCTTCATGCTTTCTGCAGGCAGCTGTAGATAGTCCATTTTCAGCTAATCACGACAGTTTGTCTAGCCAGAAGGTGCCGGCAGTCCTGGCTAGTACCGACGTTCTAAAAATTAGGGGAATTACGCCCCCACACACGATGAGTTTACGCAATATCCTCATTTCCAACGCATTGGCCCGGATAGCTGAGGATCGATTCCGCCCTGAAGTTGAGGCTGCATCCTATGCCAGACTGATTCTCAATGTGAAGTCCAGCATGAATTTTCCTTCGTAATATTGGGCGATTCATGAGGCTCTCTAAACACATATTCAAACATGAGTAAATTATTTGCATTAGAGCCTCTACATATCATTCAGATTGCGTATCCAGAGCAGTACTGTAATGAAATGCTTACAAGTATACGTTTTGTATACTTTCATCCGACTGCTTTTATTACTATTTTTAAGAACCTGTAACTGTTAAAGATTAATTTTATTTAGATCCTCATATAATTTGTTTTACTTTGTACTTTAAAAAAAAATATATATATACATATATATAGATCTATATATACCTGTCTTTTTTTCTTATATTACTTAAACTCGATGACCAATCTTCACATTCTCATTGATATTTTACCCTTACTTCTTTCGCTACTTATTGCTCTTTTGGTTATTACACAAATTTATTTATCTCAAGCACTT